CAAAAAAAAATTTAATTATTATTCATTAAGTTGTTAAGTTTTCATCTGAAATTTTTGTTTAAAAAGTTAAAAAAATCAAATTAAATTTATTAAAAATGAATGAAGAGAGTATTATATCATTAAACTATTAAAGTATATCCAAAGTTTTTAAGATTAAAACAAGAGATTTGCATTAAGTAGAAGACAAAAAAATTTAGACATGATATCAGGAGTTTCTAAAAAAAAATACATGACTAACTAATGTTAACATATATATGTTTAGCGTAAAAAAAAAAAAGAATGGTTTAGAGATTTTTTAACAAAATTTTATTAATAATTTAATATAAATTACCAACGGTATGATTAAACTTTGTGATTTAAAAAAAAATTGAAATTATTTCTAATTCAAATAAAAGGGTAAGACAATATATATATAGTATTTATAATTTATGGTAAAGGTTGACACCAAATTTGATATTTATCTTAAAATAGTATATTTTTAAAATTTTAAATTTATTGGGGAGATTTAAAAATTATATTCTAAGTATAAGCTAACTTATAAAAAAAAAGGCCAATATACACTTTATTTTTTTAATCTAGTTTATAAATTATTAACTTTTTTAAAATTTAAACCTTAAAATTTTCTTTTTACAGTTTTCTTTTATTTTAAATTTAAACTAAAAAATGATTTTCTCACATTCTATAATTTATACAGCTTGCCTTTGTGTAATTTTAATTCAAAATTTCTTAATAACTAGATTGTTAGCCCAACAGACTTCCTTTTAACTCTTCCAATGTGGCTGTCACTTTATCTTCAGTCGGACCAATTGTGAGTCTGTACTAATTAGCCTCTTACAGACAGACCAAATACTAAAAAAATGCGATCCCCACGAGCGGCTTAGTGGCCCCAGACCTTTGTCGAGTAGGGATCATTTTTTTTTTTTTAAGGTTACGTATTCAAATTTTATAAGGATTTTTTTAATTTATGTTTTAAGAGTGTTTTTTTTTATATAAATATATATAGAAAAATATGTAAATTTATTTTAATTTTAAAGTTATTATTATTTAAATAAATTTAATTAAAAAATATTAAATTAAATATCAATATTTATTTTTAAAAAAATTTTAACTTGTACTCTTAAAATATAAATTAAAAAATTTTATTTTATAAATAATATTTTTTTAATTACACCTGTTTAAAAAGAAATACTAAAAATGCAATGTATTTTTCACAAAAAAATGGAAAAAAAGCAATGTACTAATTTCTGCCACTTAAAAAAAATAAATAAATAACGCGGCATCGTTAAGGCTACGCCAGCGTCATGACAGCCATACGTTACACGGTTGACTTCTTGAGTTTGATTAATACTTTTA